GTCTCTATAATTTTACTTCTTTTGTTTGACCGTATGACAAAAACCTCTGGGTGAAATCAATTCGAGAATTATTGTTCGATATCTCTAATATGTTGGTGAAATGTATAACACAATAATAGTAATCTTCTTACCTACCTTTTCTAGATTTTTGACCTATTGTTCTCGTAAATTATGAACCTTGACGCGCCAGGTACAAAATGAATTATGGCCAAACCCAGACGTCTGTATGGTATATTTGGTTATTCAATGTACAATAAGCTTCTTCTACAATAGATAACATGACTTCAATTGTCGCCATTTAACATTTCTCGAAAGCCGGTATTAAATCATAAAACCCGAAATGTAATAACCGCCTTGCATTGTATCGATACCTGGTTTTCTAGGAACAAAAAACCTTTGTGCATTTCCGGACGTACTTTCCCCAAGACAAGTTTATGAATAGCATTTTTTCATTAGTGAAGCTCAGATTTTTCTGGAACGCACTCGAATTGTAAGATGTAACTTGTTATAGTAACCATATTCAAGTTTACAGAGCTATATTTATTATTTAACTACCTTATTAAAAAAAATTCTTTATAGAATAGTAAGTAAAAAATTATGGATTTTGGCCCTTGCCGAATTTGCACAGACATTGGTCGTAGCTATACAACTTGAAACAAAAACAAACTTGAAAGATGAATATTAACATACATAGCTGAATTTAGATGCTGTAATTCTTTAAAAATCTGTTTGTATGTATTGTACTCCATAGGAACACAATACGGAAAAATCAATCAAAAAAAAAATAGACTTTCGGTGAAATATTACTAGTTCTTTTCTTCTGCGTCTAGCTCAAATAAAATCTAAGGTCACACATTGGCAGTTTAAAAGAACGTTGAAAGTTGGAATGACAGCTGCGTAGAAAATCTTTAAGCAAAGGAGGCGTATGATGATCGCTTGAAAAGAGCGCGCACCTGGCTCATTGTAGCTCTGAATGCGACACACACATGCGCAAGCGCACTTATCCCAGCACAATACGGGATAAAGATTTACCCGTGATATAATATACCTGGGAGCAAAAAAATCAAGGATAAGTTCGGCCGAACATTGGATATGGAAAAAAGGATGATTCAAATAAGTAATCTCATGCTTTTTAACTACATTTAAAGTTTCGTATTTCGAACTTGTATTTGTGACTGGGTCTCGTACACTGAGGGCCACCGAACCGAAGTAACCGAAGTTCTTGTTATTATTTAATTAAAAAATAAATTTTATAGTTCCAACAATTTAAAAAGGTAAAAGTGAGTTTCAGAATCAGGAAATATAATAGGAACTCTCTAAACTAAGTTAGCTTTAATTATTTGAAAAAAAAAATGCAATTTGTTTTGTTTGTAGATATGCGTAAGACGTAGGCACCTGACAACTGACGTGCGTGACCTTGGCGCTCCAATCCTGTGGCCTTGGGTCGCGAGGGGTCTCACAGAACCCACAATAGCTAGCCGTTAAAACCCGTCTGATGAATACTGCGGAAACCCTCCCCTTGCTCTCGCGAAACCCACGACGGTTAACGATTTTCTCTATTTACGTTTTGAATATGATTTGCTCTATTTCAGTGACCTATTGATAGGTGGGGAGGGCTCATTCGGATGTCGTTATTGTAACCTTGTTACAACACTATTGTATATAAATTTTGGTACACTGCGGGAATAATTATTTTCGTAAATGAGGGAGAACTCGGTTTTAAATTTCGCCAAAATAAGATATAAATCCTATATCGTCAAGCTAAATACACATATTACATTAATAAATGCAATTAACAACGACTTTTTCCTAACTTTGGCGCTAAGAAAGTTAACAAGCTAAATCAAAGATATCAGCTCTATGTCCTAGAGTTACTAGACAGTCGTGCCAAATGCTTGAAAAATATTGAACAAAATTAAATAGAGAAATCATTTCATCTACCCGTCATAAAAGATTTTTACTGAAACTACCCGCGTGGCGACTGGTACTGTTTACACTATTAAAAGCACTGCACTGACATCCACTTTACAGTTATAGAACTTTGTTAGTAATCTAGTTCTGCAATCACCTTCAGTATCTCGTATTAATCACTGTTTTATGGGCCACATGCATACGTTGGTTAATGTCGTCGCAAATGAGGCGGCGGCATCTTTTTTATATGCAAGACGAATGAGTTATAGCAAAAAAATCGTTATTCTTTTAGCATAAGAATCAAGCTTTCGTAACAATATTGCTATTGGGTAGACTAAATGATAAGGTTTTAAATATTAAATACTCAAAATAGTGCACAAAAAAGTAAGCTTCATACTCTCCTCATATCTCATAATCGTCTTTATGTTCATACACTAGAGTGTAGACAAAAACGTATACCTATTTAATATCTCTTTCGCAAATCTCTAGTATAGGAAACGTTACCTACCCACAAAATCTAAAGCAGCTTATTTAGAAATACTTTAGATTTTACGATTAGCAACAACGTGTTTCAAGTACACAATAGGTAGACTAACAATAAACCGAAACATTTTTCAACTAGGCTTAGGGTCCAGGCAATATTCCTTTGTTATCTACACTTGGTAGGTGCTTAGTATGAAACTTAATAGCTTTGAGTTCGGCTAGAATACAAAGCGCACGTTTTCTATACAAATCGATTTGTGTAGCTCTAGGTAATCAGGCAGATTAGGGTGAAATATAAATATTTTTACCCGATTAACATTAGTATTGAACCTGTAAATAAATGGAATTCGAGGCGATAATATTTCAACCATTTTCATATTGATTTGTCATCATACACTATATATAATAAAAATAATCATTGAGAAGGATTACGTCGACCCTTCTTGCTTGTATAAAAATTTAATAATAAAACCGAAATTGTTGTTTCAATAGATATTTACTAGCTTTATTATTTATATCTATACTAAAGTGAATATACGTGAAGAGTTTGTTCGAACACGATAATCATAGGAACTACGAGTTAGAATTGAAAAATTCGAGGAAGGTTATTTATAGGCTATAAAACATCGTCCTGTGATTAATAGGAGCGAAGATACAGAGAGATAAGTGACAAACATTTATAAAATTATTCTTCATTATGGGTTTCCGAGGCGTACGCTGCAAAAGCGGTGCAACATACCAAAAAATATGTATGAGAGATGATTTCTCTTTAAATGATCTAAAAAAGTCCGCGACGCTATATGTCTATCTTTTAAGATTAACTTGCAAGAACGATGGGAAGGGACGCGATCGACGTCGTAGGCTTAAGTTAAAAAAGGTGAAGGGGTTTACAAAAACGAATTTGGATGCCCAAAATATTCCAACAATTCTCGTGGACGAAGTCGCTGGCACAGCTAGTAACTATTAAACTACAACTGTCGATTTGAAAGCGGGTTCGGTGGTGATATAAGCCGTGAACTCGAGGCCTCGACGCAATTCTGTTAACTCGTCTACCGTCAGAACTTGGTTTGCCAGACCCCAATTTAAACAAACGCCTCGAGTACAAGCGAAATCAAAAGATGGCGTTGTGTGAGGATTTTTAAATGTAATGTAATGCGTTTTATGTTAAATCGAAAAAAATCTAGGCAATCATTAAATAGGTTTTAAGTTAATTGTCAATACTGTGGATAAATATCAATTAAACATAATTTAATTTATATAATTCATGCGAATACTGAGCAAGGGTAGACTTACCCGAGATTGTTGACACGTTTAACGAATCGTCAAAAATGGAGGATACATCTTATAAATATCACTTGGTAACTAATCTATGACTGTGCGCAGAAAATACCTGCGTTTGCAATAGTGGGCGGGTACCTACTACAAAGTAGCATTCTAGGGCATAGACAATACAGAATAAAGATGTAGATAATACATATATAGAAATGTAAATAAAAGATTATTAAATATTATATTATCTACATTTTTATTCTATATTCGCAATATCGACTAATCTAGTAATTTAGAATAGAATATCAATCCTATTGCACAGTATCACAGTAGACAATGTGTAAAATATAGCGTCAAAAGTTTAGAAATAGTAAAGCACACAAAAAATAATTTAAATCAAATTAAAATTTACTTTTTGTCACGTGACACTAAACGCTCAAACAATTGGTCGGGTTTATGACGTCACTTGCTTGTAAACAGCTATAAGGCACCGTTCTTATTAGTGTTAAAAATGTTCTATTCTGTTTAATAAATAAGTTCGTAACTTAATGTATTACTTCAATCACTTAAAATGTAAATATTTGGTACAAATGCTCGTAGATTGTAGATGATATTATGATAGACATACTCCAATGGCCAATGGTCGTGCGTCACTATGGTATGGCAGCGCTTGGGCGCGCAATTTAAATGTTGGATTTTAATTTTATATATTTTAGCAAATACCTATGTATCAGAATCCACAAAAACAACTTTTCTACCCCAGAAACATTCAATCAACCAAATAATATAAAGTACATTTTAAAAATCAGTCCAATAGCCTATTCGGTTAGCTTATGACTATCCATTCATATACGAGACATGATTATGTAAATAAAATACCAATAGATGTGTCTCCACATTTATTTGAATTTTACTAAAAAAATTGGATAAAAAATATTGTATTTCATCAACATGTTACTTTAGAAATGAATAATGTACAGTGGTAGAAAATCTCCGTTTGCTGCACCCAGATTTTAATTCTCAGTTTATTATGACGGGGTGAGCTACGGTAGTCTGTGCGCCGCCCGAGTACAGAATAGGAGACAATCAAAAACATACACTCGTTTCGTTAGTCTATCCATTAAAGCATTCACACACTATAAACAGAATATACATATTTCAAAACTGATTTTGTTCAATCATACTACTAGCAACAGTACATTTCAACTATTTCCACAATACTGCAACGGGTCAAATTTTCTCCAACTGTCTCTGTTGTTCGGTTTCAATTTTTTATTTGTTTGTCGGGTTAGATGTCGCAGGACGGCGCAGTGTGTCAGTCTCACGCTGTTCTTAAATTAATCTTCCTCTTCTCCGCTCTCAGATTCTGTGAAAAAAGTATTATTTATGGGTATGTTGTTAAAAAGGTAAAAAAAGGCGGGGCGTAAAAATCACTTATCACAAACAAGTTATTACTATAAGCACATTTAAAAATGGCTCACCCTCTTCGGCGCTTTGCAGCCACTCAACAAACTTCTTCATCTGTTCGAGGAACATCAACTTGCCCTTCGAAGAGTTTGGATCGCGATACCAACGCAGTATCACTTCTTCGGAGACAACTTCGCTCTTATACAGCATCACAACGAGCTTGCTGAACGCTCGCATGAAGTTCATGTTCTCGTAGCAGTATTCTTGAACCTGGTTGAATTAAACTAACTTTACTCAAATTACAATAAAGCGTATAAGGCTAAACGCCTTGGTAGACTGAAGTGTTGCGTTTCTATGTCATTTTCAGCGACTAACTGAAATCTAGTGACCGTCTACGCGAATTATGTTGCACAGTTTCCACACCGACGCGACTATGTTTCAATCGTGACTGTTCTACTTTAGTGCAAAACAAATGAAAACTCAGCGACTCGCCGTCAGTTAATCCGTCCGTACCTTAGTGAGTAAAGCGATCTCCGCTTTTGCGGAATGCGCGAAGGCAGCCAAGAGAGGAGTGTACTGGCGAAGGTGTTTGGCCGCCTGCTCGGCCAGCAGCTCCTCCTTCTTGTTCCACTCGCCGCGAGCCATCACGCACTGCCATATCTGGAATTATTATCTCTTTCAGTATCGATGACCATTCGACAACACTAATCTTGCAACAACTGTTATAAAGCAGCGTTATCAGATTGCCATGTCAACATAGCATGGCCTCTCGCGTACAGCAGCTAAACAGTTCCCAAAAGACTTGGTCTCTGCCGGCCACGTGCACTAAGAAGCCACACTCTGACTCGTCATCAAGTTTCATCATATTGGTTGTTCTGTATGTGGTGGGGCGTATCTTATTGTACGGCTGGGCCTAAGCGAAGAGGGGCACTCACGATCGCAACCACTTCGTGGTCGGGTATGTTGTTCTTCTGGGCCATATCGCGCAGGTCTGGGATGATGTCTCGGACCGGACGCTCGTCGTTCAGTTCCTCGTCGAGCACCCGAGTGAGCTCGCGTCTCGCCTCTTGCGACGCCTGGGCGCGGTGGAGCCTAACCACTTCTCCGAGACCGCGGGCCCCGAACATCGCCGCTAGAGACTCCTCGCTGCGGCGGTTGAGCGGCAGGAACTCCAGCAACCTGAACGATGGACGACTTTAAAGCATGGACATCTAGATAATCACTAATTTTCTATTTAAATGTTAGTCACTGTGTAGCTACATTTATGACAGCATCGCAATGATGCAACGAGCCAGTACATGTTGCGTTTATATTTCCCAAAAGTCATACATGGCCCATCTAGGTCACAGAACCAGTTCATCTCAAAGCTTTGGGACTAAATTAAAAAAATGAATTTAAATTTTTAGTAATGATTACCTGCCCTCGAGCTGCCCTTTCTTTAGCGCAGTGACAAGAGAGGCGACTCCACGTTCATTTTTCACCGTCGCGAAAACCTCCAGAACAAATTCTAGCGCTACATTCTCTTTTAGGAGATGTTCATTGACCAAAACCAGAAGCACCGAAGGCGGCACACATCCGTTACCTGACAAAAGTAAATTAATTGCAAATAACAGCACATGAATTGAATGCACGTATTTATATTAAAGAATCGGAGGATATAATTGAATTTTAACTATTTTAGAAATGTAACGTCGCCAGTGAGTCGTCACCCGCAAGAGCAGATGTCGAGGATAAACGACGCGATTGCTATCGCACACTTCGACACCGATACGACTAAGTATCGTCGGATCAGCTCTAATCGTGTGCCGAAAAGATCAGTTCTTAATTTAGTAGGAACGACCGTCATTAGGTAATACGTAGAGTTAAACTTACATATCCAAAGCGCAGTCATTCTTGCCAGCTTCACGCGCTGTAGGGGCTCGAAACCTTTAATGTACACCAGCACCTATCAAAATATACATATGTTTGATTTATTCAATTGGCTTTTCACTTTATTTGTGTAAATAAATTCTTAAAAATTAATATTACCTTTTTCATTTCCTCTTCAAACATTTTTTCCAGATATTTATAACGTCTCATGAGTTTCACGAATACCTAAAAGAATCATTACAATCAGTAATACATAATAAATAAATAAAATAAAAAAATAATTGTACATTAATAGTTCTTAATTTGGGTTAAATGAGAAAGTCATGTTTACCTGTTCAAAGTTGTGCATTGTTTCCATATCCTCACTAGCGTTGAAGATGCAGGTGTTCGTCTTCGGTGTCTCCCCGTCCATCGACACTGACCCACCGGGGACTGTGAATCAATATAAAATATCTTGGCATCTGACTAATATCTGGGTTTTGTCTGTTCACAGGTGCAGTGCGATCAGCATTAAAACGAACGAGTGGAAAGTCTCATCAGGTATCAGGACTCTAGCCAGTTTTTTCATCATATCAGATCCTTAAGACAATATTTACACCAAATTCGTTTACACTTACGCAATAACCCCCCGGCGATAAGAACGTCGAAAATGACCTCGCCATATCGGCGATAGTCGAGCTTCGATCCAGCCGCGTCTAGGAACTTATAGGCCGCCTCCAGATCTCCGCCCGCGCGCTCCAGCCCTTGAACCAGAGCGTCGCGGAACCCGTTGGGGTCATACTTCTCTTTCTCATCTGAAACAATAAATTGTTGACTCAAATACTACGAGCTTTCATCGTGCCATCCTATGTTGTTTATATTTCAGTGAGCTATCACAATATAACTTATGACGTGACTGAGGCGAAACGACTGTGATCATTGTTGGATAAATGATATAAACATGTAATAACGTCATTGGGACGTTTCTAATGACAACAACTGCTGACAAAGGTGATTATTTTTATTTGGAAGTTGGCATGACCAAACGACAAACACAACTAACTACTTTTCTATTTTAATAATTTTCCAATCCTAAAAAGATATCTGATATTGGACTTAAACTTCTACCATTTCCATTTCATTTCAATTATTGAATAGCGATACGACACGAAAATAAATCCCAAACAGGGAGTTGAAATGATAAAGTAAACAATTGACAAAGTCCATTAATTAGCTGTGCCGATATCTATTGGACAAGCCAACATTGTAACTCAAGGTTATGTGATTCATGCCTATAGTCTCAGTTGGCTAAGGAAAACTACTATGTCAGTTGTGTGTACAAAGATAATTTGATACTTGATTAGTCAGCTTATTGCTAATACATTTCAACATTTGAGCTCCTTACAATTTGTTAGGATTCATTTTGCTAACACACAAAACATGGCTTTTAAGGACAATTTTTTTTAATTTGGATCTACAAATAGTCCTAAATGTATGTTTATGTATAAAGGTGTCTCATGGTCTCAAGGCAATATCTTTTCCTTATCAGTAGCGGAAGTAATTGGAGGCTAGATTCAAGTTGTTACTGTACAAAACCATACCAGTAATAAAAAAACTATTAATATCTTATTTGTGTAATTTACACACCATACCTAATAGAATTATGATCAATCAACAAGTATGTGACAAATATAATACAAAACTATAAACACATATATCAGAAGTGGTTTTAGAAAATTAAGTATGAAAATGTATGTTGATTTGCGTACCAGATCTGCCTTATTACAGTCTGGTATAGCTTTTAATCAACAGTATCTTATCCACAGTCAGAGGAAGCCAGTTTGGACATATTCTTCCATTCTGGGGCAAAACTGTGGCTTTAAAACATAAAAACTTGAAAGATGTAGGTGTTTATACAAAAACATGCATGGAATATTAGACATTTATATCCAATCTACACACATAAAAGGTTTGTAAATTAAAACAACAAAACAAAATTACTGTAATCTCAATTGTCATTCCACCTATCTTCAATTTAACAGTAAACTTTCACAAACAAATTATAATTGTAGACCTGACCTAGTTTGGACGGTTAATGAATGATCCTGTATGGCAAGGTGAAGGCCAACTTATCAAACCAACGTTTTGTGCACATCAATCGTAATGTTATAATATAGATAGTGAAAAGAGATATCCGAAGATTGGAGTGAATATATAAATATCTCATCAATAAGTTAAGACACCTCGATTATGGCTTTGACGATGAAATTATAACTCACCTCTTTTTCTGGTCTTGATCCGTTGACCCGATAATACTGGTTTTTCTACCTTTTGACTCATACAATATATCGCTGAAACAAAATACACGTGGCATTTTATAACGGTGAGAGAGGAGAGTCCACTATCATGTGCAAAAGGTCATCGGCCGTACAACACATGCACGCCAAATATCCTACAAATTTAATAAATACTTCTTGTAATCCCTTGAGAAGGCGACGCCTACTTACCACAATTAGGGCAAGGCGCAACAAAACGTGTAATAATCCTTTGTGAGACTGAATTACAACCTTAGCGTATGACTCAGCAAGGGTTAGAAAAATATCGAAATATTAAGAATTAAATAGTCAAATGCGGCTATTAATCAAGAGCGTACTTTTGAAATGGCTGTGCACCAATACTTACGTAGTGACAGGTTATGTAGGAGCCTTTTACTCCTTTTGCGAGTTCACTTCGACTGCGCCTGTTCGGAAAAGAAAGAAACGCTTGAGCTCTCTTCGTACGAGAACTAGAGACAACGTGTAGATGGAGCTGCCGGATATCCGGTTAAAAAAAGACCGTAATATCGATTTTTTTAAAGAAAAAAATATATATTCCGCTAAAACCCAGTTTTACATGACTCAATTTCTCACTTTTACTGGGAATGTACAAGGTATAATCAAAATATATTGAAAAATCTTAACGAAGTTGGCCGTTCGAAATAAAAATAAGTAACACAAGGTGAATTATAAAATACACACTCGACAAGAAAAATGTAGTTACAATATAATTAAAATTTAGTTTTTGTATTTAAAAAGACGGCACGACAATTTTATGAATTTTGTAATACTTATTTAAAAAATCGCAATTTGAAAGGAAAACATATGACTACAAAAATATTATCGTTGAGTCTAACCATAGAGAATTTTGATATAGGTAATTGGTATAGTCTACATGAAATATTCAATACTCTACTGCGTCGTATGATTATCGATTTTACCGTTTCTCTTATTTATTTTATGGCCTTCAAACGCGGTTAAAATAAGAACCATAATCGTGTAGTCTCTCAAGCGGTGTAAATAACTTAAGCTTTTATTTAAAATATTTTTATTTTTAACATTCAAACCTTATGATACAAAACAGTACGACTCACAGAGTAAGAAATTTATAGCACATACTATTTTTGTTAAATTAATATTCTGTAACAACAATGACATCTGTAAATAGAAAATTGAAGCCATAGATTAAAGCTAGTAATAGATAATAGCCAATGCCCAATAGTTGTTTAAAATGAATGTTTTTATATTGCTGTGAAATTGTGAAATGCTTATAAAAGCAACTAAAGTAATACGGTTATAACAAAAATAATAACGTTCATCTTCTATAGGAAATATCTTTTTGGATTACAGTCATAGTTAATACATTGTGGTAATCATGGCTAATTGTATAATAGCAAAGGTTATTATTATAAACCATGTACTTCTTATTTCTTTGAATTTCCCTAATTTGTTTGTCTTCTAAATTGTAAATGGTCTTGAATTCAGATGGGTAATTTAAGACTAATCCCCGCTGCTATAATGGTACAGACTCATCGCACTACTACATCAAAACACTGGAACCCTAAATACAAAAAGCTTCGCAAGGAAAAATTCCTTAAAGTTCCATTTCACGACTTTAATGAGGATACGGATAGCTTACCCGAAGAGAAAGTCCGACAGAAGATGAAGGAACGAGGCTTGTTACCACCTAGGCCATGGGTAGAGAGACCGTTTTATATTTCATCTACAGGTACATAAAATTTGATTTTTTTATTTGAAAGTAGAGTATATTGCTGCAGTAACTATTATATTTTTATTCTCATTTGCACAACATTTACATTTCAGGTGGCGTATTTGAGGGCTACATTCCTCCTGAAGGAGACGGTAAAGCTTCTGTAGTATCGACTACGAGAGCTAAACAGACAGTGCAATTACTAGAGAAAAAATCGAAATCTATGATGGCAATACGTAAAATAAAATCATTCGACGAGGACTTTGACACAAAGGGATTTTGTCAACTAGCACAAGACATTTACATTAAAGCACATGACAGTCTGGTTAATAAAGACAAACACTTGCTAAGAACAGTTGTTACAGAAAAAGCTTACCCTGAATTTATGCACAACTCCATAGGAAAAACCATACGTTGGAAGTTTTTGGAGTCATTAGAACCACCGAGAGTTGTTCATGCGAGATGTACTGATGTCATCAGCAAGGAGAATATTTTTGCTCAGGTATGTTTTTAAACAATAATATGTGTAAGTAACTTTTTAATAACAGGTGAGCATTAATAAACCTAAAGTTACTTCTAAACACAAAGCCCTGTTTTCATTCAATTGGACAAGGGTGGTAATCCACTTGTAAAAATAATAGTCATAGGAAAATGCTATTCTGTTATGTGCTTCTATTTAAATTAAACACTTTCTTTACTTTCACAGCTTACAGTACGCTTTCACACTCGTCAACAGTTGTCAGTATATGATCGGTTTGGACGGTTGTTGCATGGTAGTGAAATACTAGCAAAGGATGTCTTAGAATATGTTGTGTTCGAGAAACACCTATCCAATGTATATGGTAGCTGGAGGGTGCATGGAAAAATTATACCGGACTGGGCGCCACCAAAGGATCCTTCTAAACTAACCCGTGTAAAGCCAGAAGAAAAGCCTGTACCGCCAGATAATAGTGAAAATGAGAAGGGGAGTGAAGCTCTCCTTGCAAATGAATAGTTGTTATTAATAAATGTATGTTAGTACATATTGTATTTTATGTCTTTTATTATTCGGGACAACCATAATCCCTCCGTCACTGTCAATTTCCTTATAAACCAATATATAATTCTTGTAATCCATAGAGATACAACACAACACAACTCCCAAAAAATAGAAAGTATCTTTAAAACACTTTTATTGTATCAAAAAGTTGCTGTCGTTAAAAAATTATATTATCTTTATTTATATATAATACAATGATTTTCTGTTAAATTACCTATCTATAGAGACAAATCAATAACCTATTTACAAAATATTAACAAGGAATTAATTGTACATTACATATTGAATTAGACTCATTATTTCATGTAATTGTTATATGTGAGATGTAATACCACAATTTTATATATATAGCAAACCAGATCATTAACAGAAACAAAAAATTGTTACTCTTACTTGCATTTTACTTTAAAAAATGAGACAAATTGTTCCTTGTGTCAATTGCTTAAAACATTTACTAATACTGTTAGTATACTATAATAAAATCATAGGAATATCAAAATGAACTGTGTGAATTTCTCTTACCAAAGTACACAATTTTTATACAAACAGAAAATCTATATTCACAGGTAAATTGGAATGATAAAAAAGATTGATGGCATATAGTTTGCAAAGGACGATGGTTTTCAATATTGGTATAATGCCCTATATTCACAGAGCTACCCTGAGCGATTAATTACGCCATGAGCTAACAACGCATCTGTATAATGAAGTCATTTCCACAATATGAGACTAGTCTATATGCGGGGCGGTTGTCGGTGACCACGCACGAGTAAAGATTTAGGGGTTTTTTCTATAACTAAATCGATTCGATTTCAACACTTATTCAATCAAAATGAAGCTGTATTACAGTTCAATTTTTATATTGCACTTATAAATAAGACTAATGGAAGTTGTTCTAAATTTGTAAATGTAGTTCTTCAGTGAAAATTGCGACGCCATTTTGTTTATAACGCTTAGACACTGCGTCCAACATAGGCCGCACGTTTCAGGTGCTGTTGGCTAATTCCGACAGAGGTAACACTTCCGTCGCGTTGGACGCGTTCGCTTCAGACCACTGTCGGGGCGGTGCGCTGCGTCGGCTTCGGTGGTAAGGGCGGGGGGGTGCGGGGCAGTAGTCGTTGCCGCTGCGTCTCGCGGAGATTCTCGAGGAAATCTGAGAGAGATCCTAATCATGAACACCGAGCTACTTTCATCTATTACTCTCTATATATATTATAATCTTATATTCTTCAGAATGAAAAAATCCGATTATTAGGACAAAGACGGCATTACCGATTTTACCTGGTGGGTGGTGGTGGAGGGGAGGGCCGGGTCGCAATGATGCTCTCACTCTGTTGGCAGGCACGGGCCCTTGGGGCAAAGGTGCTTGTTGGGTTGAGCCCGACGTTATGGCGCTCGGGGCCCCGCTTCGTGATCCTTGAGATACATCGGTGTAACCTGAACTGCCCGAGTTTCGGTCTATGCTCTAAAAAAATAATGAAAATGACCTACAAATTCGACTTGATTGTTCAATTTAAATACAACAATACTTCACAATAATTTATGAAAACTAAAATGATAACGTATAAACTTACCAAGGTGTCATCGTCGTGCGGGTGCAGGGCGACATCAGGCAACGAGTCGGTATCCTCGTCCCGGTCCCCCGTCCTCGCGATGTTCAGTCGGACAGCGCGCCACTCGCCATCCCCGACTTCTACTATTTGCAGACGAGCACCGTCTAATTCCTGTAATTTATATACAAAATTGACATAAAGGGAAATATACACAATTCACCTTTAAGATAACTTATTTCATTTAAATAGAACACTTTAACGGTTTAAAACGCGATATATTAGTTAAACTTATTTGAAAATTATTTTTAACTTCGGCCCGACGTTTCGGATGCTTTGCAGCAGCCGTGGTCACGGGGAGATTTCATTTTTTAGAGTGAATAAGCACAAAGTATTTTGGGTTCAAAACTAAAAATTGATTCGAATAGAAGAATTCGACGATGAACATACGATATTAGCGATGCGTTGACACCATTAGACCACTCCTTGGTCTAATGGTGTCCACCATTAAATAGAAACATAACTAAACGGACCTGTAATGATGTGTCCGGATTAAGCGGTGTTCCCTGCGGCCATTGTGTGGAACTACTATCTGGCGGATAGCGCTGCAGAAGCGGTCGTAACACGTGTCTCAGACGGCGTGTGGGCCTGCATCGAACGAGGACCGCGCGTGGGCCTATGCGCACGCGCACGACGCATCTGCGCTCGACCACAGCACATTTGCCTCCGAGTACAGTGGATGGCGATTCCGCGTCTATCGCACGCGATTCACCCTGTGAAATTAAAATAAGAACTATAGATTCTTAGGGAACGCAATTAACCGCAAATTAATCTGAACGAGAGGATTATTTATATACCTGTTCGTCCAGCAGGACATCGTAGGCGGTGCACAGCAGGTTCCTCCTCTGTAGCAGGCGGTCGACCAGACGTCTGACGGTCACTGCCTCATCGACTCCCACCACGGAGGTAGCGCCGTCCGGTAGAACTACGCGGCAAAGTGAACAGCCTCCGGCGAGTGTTTGACTCGCAGCCACGACCTGGAACCGAATATAAACATTTATATAGTATGTCTAAATACTGAAAACCGTAGTTTTTTTTTTTTTTTTGATTGGACTCTTATGTATTGTGTTCCTAAGGAGCCACGAATACTAACCGGGCGTTTTGGGCGAGCGCGATAGCGCTCGCCGTGTTTGCGGCTAGACCAAGGGTGCCCCGAGGGGGGCATCGGCCTCGGCTTAGACCGCCGCAATGCGGGTGGGAGCTAGAAGAGCTGGACGGAAGCTCACCCGGGTGAGCGGTACGCGAAGCGAATGACCTCGCCTACGCCGGCGTAGGCGGTTTTGCGGGCGATCGGCACCGGTGTCGGCCGATCGCATAGCAATAAGTAAGTCGACGGCTTTGGTTAAGTCGTCATCGGGGTCGGTGAGAACGTTACGCGGCCTTCTCCAGCGTGTATTAATGGGAACGGTGTAGTTGGCGGCCCGGGCCACCAGTGGGTTCGGAATCGTAAAGTGATGCGTATTGAATGAATACAGTCGAACAGTAGAAGTATAAAAGTATAGTATTCGTAAACTGAACAGTCATTTTAAGTCATATTAACTAAATAAATATTGCAAATAAGATTCAACAACAGACAAATTAAATATTATTAAGATAACGTCAATATAAAGCGTATCGAATCTTGAAATTACTTCTATATTTGCACGAGAGGCGTGTCAGATAACTGCGACGTCTAGATAAATATTAAAATGGCACACGATAATGGTAGGATGCGGTGCTGCTATTGTTTGTTTGATGTACTGATAAGTATTTCACGTCGTTAGCACGGTTTCGTTCGTGGTAACGGGCTGTCGCTTTCACTGCGAGTGCGAGTTGTCTACTGTTACTGAACGAACTTTTTCTCCGACTATCCAAAGTCAAAATAGGCCGACTAAATGCGTACTGTAGATATTCTCTACAATGTCTGTTCTCTATAATAAATAAAAAAACTCCAACGAGGCCAACACGACTTACATACAAGATACATAAATCTTACATCTGACTAAAGCAGGGAGGCGAACGTGCGGCGCCGTTATTTGTTTGTCGCGATGGAAAAAATAAATAGCGCCACTCTAAATAGGGAAAAGCAAACGGAAATATGCAGATTCATTTTGCGCCTGATATAACTATTTGCGCAAAGTGGCTTATTTGTCGAGCGCAAATAAACTGTGCCGTGATTTTCCACGCGCTCAATATTTCACAATGTTGTGGCGGCTTCTGAACTAATGTTTTAGAACTCAACAATGCCGTGTTTGCGAATTATGAATTGTGACCGAATTCATCGCATCTTGAATTCATGGGCTCTCAAATATTAGGTCTATATTATCTTTAAAAATTTTAAGTGAAGTATTTTTTGAAAGCTTACAAAAAAATATATCTCTCAACAGCAGAGGCCATTAATTTTTCCATTAAAAATCCTAAAAGGGATAAAAGCTATCTAATAAGTAGCAACGTGTAGTTGAATATCCAAAGTCTAAAAAGGGCGACAGCGTATCTTGAGCAGATGTTGTACGGCTGGAGTATTTCACCTTCCTTCAAGTGAATCTCCTCTATCGCTGAAAAAAAATTACTTACATCAGTTGTCGGCGGCGTGTCCTCTACAGCTCGATCCCGTGAAACGGAGCGCAGCCTCCAGCCCAACAGCGACCCGCCTCCGCTGCGCCTGCGCTCCGATGCATTAGATGACGACTTCTTTATCTGTCGAACAATCCATTTCGTTTTAAAGTCAACAATTCAATTGTGTTCTTTGTTTTGAGAGGTCTATTGTACGGATACCTGCAAATATTGTTAATATTACGTAATCGTGCGTCTTAACTATAAGCGCTGGATTTAAAACTTTAAATAGAGACATATTTTTATAACAATAGAAACATACAAATTATGTATTAGATTTGGCGGCAATGATTTAATAGTAAGGTAAATGTGAAACATTTTTGCTACCGAACGTAATATTACTAATGCTGTTGTCCAATTATTATGTATAACTTGTAAGAAGTAAAGTACCTTAGGTGTATCATTAGTAGCGAGGTAAGGACAGGGAAGGCCGCGTAGATCTGCGCGGGCGCACTCCGCGTGCACGCCGGAACGCAGGAATCGCGGATAGCTATCAAACTTCATGACGTTGAAGATCTGTTTTTGTGCCTGCGCAAAAAGTAGCAGTTAGACGAAATGCTTTTTACCTCAATAAAACCTTTTTTACGATAAAATAACGTTTCGGTATGGTGATGAAACGTGATTATATAACAGTATTAATTATTAGTTATTTACAAGTAGCAAATAGGCCGCTTATGTAGAAATAGTTGCACACCTGGTTGAACAGGTCTGGAGGAGGCGGTCGCTGGTCAAGCCGCAGCGCCGTCGCGCGCTTGGCAGCCGCGTCGATATTTACGGGTTCCGGCGCTTTGTCCGCCAGGTGGCGTTGCCAGATCTCGTTGGCCAGCGAAGCGCGGACCTCTGCGCTCTCTGTCTCGTTCTCAGAACAAGTACGGTACTGTTCACACGACCACCAAAATCTGTCGAACAATTATTTTTTTAGAATATCGTCGTCTTTCCAATGAACCAAATAGAGTAGGCTTAGCTTATAACAAATTGCTCTTAAACATTTAATAGCCGATATGTCCTTTGAAATAAGGCCCCTTAAGTGTTACAGGGTCGCGCAACTGTAGATAAAACGATTTCAGAGTTTACTATCTCAAACGAATGTGTTCGTAAAGCTAATAGAGAGGACTATTTTTAGAATTTTAGGTGCACTCTTTACTAACTGATAACAGATTTATTTATTCGAGCTTTGATGACGCAGGTCACGATGCATAAGTATCGTGGCTTCCCTTTCTACGGATTGATATCGACTTAGCTTCGTAAAATATATTTTAAAAGTGACAACCGCGTCGACAAGTGGATTACTTAACGAGTATTTGCGTTGTAATTAGACGCTTAAGTATTGGTAAGTTGCCTAATAAGCCTTTCGAACCGGCCAGCAAAGCAAACTTCTCAAAACGCGAGAACAGTGTATGTTTACAGAGATCGTCTCAATCATTGAACCTATGCTATCATGGTCGCGATGGTCGGATTCCTCTGCTCGGGAAATCGGTCTTCTCCCGTTGCGCACCTCACCTAATGTTCTCGGCTGCAAATTCCTTGTCCAGAAAGTGCGCGAAAGCCGCCGCTCCGGCCGCGTCGGTCAAAAGGTGCTCGAGTCCCAGCGACCAGCGAGCTACGCCACCGCCACCACCAGCAGCTTTGCCACCCCCTGGGTTGCTACCTTCGCTCATTTGCTGTAATAAAACATCCCAACATGTGACCATTGGTATTTAAAAAAAAATGGTATTCGTTGTATATTTTTTCAAACAGTGCCAAGAATTTCACCTTATTGTAAATGTTTCGATGCTCGTGGTGTCTGTAGGAACTGCCCGCGCCGCTGCCCGTGGTCCAGCGTCGGAACGGGGAGGACTGCTCACTCTGAAATAAACAAGTTTTAAACTAGATTATCAGTTCGAAAGATAATAGAATTTAATAACCTCAGGAATGTTTATAATATCATTTACGACTTAAGCGCAGTATTAAGAGATTATGGATTGACAACGGACGATATCGCTTGTAGATTAACTTTTCGATTTTGAACTACATTTATGAGCGGTAATGTTTACTGTGTTCTACACCTTTGTATTATAAACAGTTTGTATAATAGCCAGAGGAAATCTTCATATTAACTTAAAAAGGATATTTCTCGAACTGTAGATATGGGTGTTTCGTTCCAAGAAATAATCGTATAATTTGAGAACGGCGTTATCAGTATGTATATTATTAGTATAAATACGTCGTCCCTTGAACCAACACGGGAACAGAGAACAAACACGTCCGGCAGTTTACTTAGGAAGCAGGTGCCACTAATTTCTGTTTGTTGGGGAAACCCGCTATCACATGATATATATATAGCAAGCGTGCTACTTTAATGTGTGACTATTCTGTAATAAGAATATCCAAAGACAAAAATGGTCGGCAGTACATCTGTTGAGATGTTATATGAACACGTAATCCCCAAGCTCGTTGTTAGCTGACAAATGTCAAATTAGTGGTTTTAGGACACCGTGATTTCCTTCACAGGAGACTCAATATAACTCGCAAGTCGCAACCAAAGGAACAGAACCCAGAATGGCACTTATTAACCGGTTACAATTTTAATGAGTAATAGACAAAGCTAGATAAGTTTTCCTAAAAAGGATGGATAGGGCAGTTACCTCACCGTCAGCATCCGTCACATACCACACTACCATTTTAGCACCTCAACATTAAACCACTAAAGCCGATACCAAGCTCGAGCATCCCGAGCCAGCGGTGGCCGGCATGAGACTATCGAGTCATCGCGATGCAAAATTACAATGACAATCACAATGAGCGTACAGCCCCGTTTCCGGCGGCGTGTGGCGAAAGTTACGAGCAGAAGCGTACGGCGAAAAACCTTTTATAAGAGTATTTAGAAAGACCTGAGACCAGATAGCATTTCCAAGAGACAACGAGTCACTTGTAAGGTACTAAAACTACTTTGAAACAACAAATCAAACTCATCCAACTTTAAAGAGCCGTTGATTTTATAATTTAAATAAATTATTTGTTTCCAAATATAAAGCTGTTCTTAGAATAAACGACTTATCGAGTTAGAATAACAGATTCAAGGAGAAAAAGCACATCCACCGACGCGTGCTTCGCTCGCGCAATTTATTAAGGAAACGACATCAAAGATTTTATATGCTAAAAGCAACGTTGCGAATATGATTGGCAATTGTAACAAGGCCGAGGTTGAATCAATAGGAGCAATTGGTGAACGCCCTCAATGCTCCCAAGTTTAATTAAGCAATAAAACGGTTCGACGTCGAGATGAAGCGAGCTCGTAGGGTTCAAACTAGATTATACGGCAGACGTTATTTTAAATTTACAATTACAATGACATGAACATTTTGCAGATCATTTAAAGAGGAATCATTCATTCGTACATATTTTTGGGGTTTGAAGCTATATATATATATGATGTGAAAGCGGTTTTCAGGGAATAATTTTTCCATTCACTATTACTTTGCTTCTATTTGCCGCGAATTCCATACATTTTATTAGTATGAATATCACTAGCTTCACTGGCCGTTTTCTGGGGCAGAAGCGACGTCATTAATTGTGTGACTTATACCAATCGCTGCCGCCGAGCGCAGAATTGAATAATGAGTTTTTCACTCCATACATAAAGCAGTTTCAATGACCACTGAATAAGGACGCTATTGTACTGCGCATTAGGCGACTGGACTTGGCTGGAGAAAGATGCATTCTATTTGAAGGGAAGGGAAGTCATTGGTAGGAATGTGTGTCGGTGCATTCTTCTCTTCGATATGATACAACAAACCTATTTGCTGGTATTGTGATCAGAGGAATAACGCAAAATAGGTAATTAGAAAAGTTATAAAATAAGGGTTAGTACTTTATCACTCTTTTAACTCAGCCGCGTCACTCATAACAACGGTTACAGGATGTTTACGCATCAATATTTTATTTTCATCTCGCAATGAACCAAGGTCTTTGAAGGATTCAGTCCGCGTGATATAATCCCAGCGTTAACATATTTTCTAAATATTTGTTTTTGGATTTCCTGATATCCTTCGGACACGCGAAATCCGGTACGATTCCTACGGTTTATACTAACAAATTACATACAACATAATACATGATGCTTTTTGGTCTGCCGAGATCCATTTAAGGTAACTTTAGATTTTGATGTATCTGATGAGTGTGTATAAAATTATTCAATATAACACTCCTGATATAAAACGCGAAAAATAGATGTTAATTTTCTACGACCCGACGTTTCGGGTGAAGACTTAAAATATAGAACGAATATTATTACTTTTTTTTTTAATATGTACCTATTTTATCATTGAATTAATAATAAATGAAAGAAATAGTATTGTACGTGTGGCAGAAATCTTTAATATTTATTTGGTTCTCGGCTAAAGATACGATGTAAATTTCAGGAGAAGAGATAAACTGATAACACTATAAATAGACGCAGAGTGGTTTATTTACATTTCAAGTGTCGTTACGTTTCACACGACGGGAGGTAAATTACATCTGATTAGTGAACACGGATAGACGGCGCCGGCACTCAAAGTAATTTGAATACGAAAATGCACGACTCGCGCTATGTAAGATAGTCATCGCGTCTGCTTAATGACAATTGCGAGTTCTCTTCGATTCTTATGAATCTACGACCTGAAGGAGCCGAGAGACATTTCACATTATTACTTGTCCAACTGAAATAGATATGTTTCGTTTTTAGCAGGTTTCAAATCCGTTGACGATACGTAACAACGTTAATAGCTACGCCACGGACGCGGTAGATATCATGTCTCTCAAAATAATAAGGACAGTCAGTTGCCAGTTGCACTAGCCAAATTTTAAGTTTTAAAAACTAAAATATACTCACAAACCATGACAGCCTCGCGAGAAACTTTTCAGTCAGCAACGTAGGCATTTGTCTTACTATCACTTTGAACAAACTGTCTATGGGAGAAAGTTTAAATTTATTATTTAATTAATATTACTGCGTAAGGTGACACAGAATCGATTCTTTACCGGCACAAAGTTCACTTTTAAATGACCGATGGTTTATAGTATATATTTTAAGCATCTATACAATTCACTTGGCAATTGGCATTCATAAAACGCTTTCTGCACTCGTCGGTTATCGACGACAAGTTTCGCGTCGTGCGCTCTCCGCAGAGTCGCAACGGTAACTAATCCTTTGTGCTACCTCCGCAGGTAATATAAACGCAAACATCGCAACGCAATCGTACCCGCCGCTATCAAAGTGATAAGAGATTCAGCCCGCCCGCGCGTGATCCGCCCACGTTTGGCGAAATTTGTGACTTTTATTAAATAAGCCATCGCATTACGACCTCGGTCGGGTCGACCGCTCCGCCTAGTGTTAAGGGATTGCCTTATCTAATAATTATGTCAGTGTGACGTAAGCAGATTTAACCGATATTGTTCCGGACCGACGGGACAGGCGAGCGGGGGGTTCGATCGAAGACAAGATCGGCTCGTCGGCCTTTTAGCTTCGGATATTCGGAAACAAGATTCTACTTCTACGGCTTTCCATATCTGGAAGGCGGTTCGTTAGCGAGACGCAATTTCGATGTTGCGACTACTCATTTAATATTCAGATTTACTGCCGAAGTGCAAGATGTTTCGGAATAATTATAAATCGATTAGAACCCGGCGAATACACATTACTCATACAAAATTAAAGTGCGAGAGAGGTGCGTGTATCGATGGTTGACACGCCGTGGATGGCGGTTTAAGTCAGTAAGATTATTAATTAGGATCGACACTACTGCGTGAGGCAGGCACGTCAAGCCGACTAGTGGTGATCCCACGATTGATAAGGGATCAATCTTTCGATCATTAAGCAGCAAACGCATACATGTGGCATAAAGAGTTAATTTTTCGATCTATACTTAGAACTTTGAAAGGGAACAATAGGTCACAGAGACAAAGTGAACGGATAAACAGAAATACATCCGTGGAAATGTATAGATAACATTGTTATCGGTGTGTTGGAAAAATCTTGGATACTCATAGACACCATTGGAACCGGAAAATCAAATGCTGCTCAATACAAAATGCTGATAAAAATGATTGATTGCTAAAATTTTATAGAAAATGGCTTTCCGCATCACGTTTCCTTTACCGATAGTTTCATTGGTATCATACAAGAACTGAAGTAAGGATCTCCGTAATGGTACGCTTAGCAAAAAAGATTCTGAAAACACCATATGCATCGGCCATTCATATCTTTCGCGAAGCTTTAATTTCCTAAAATCTCCTTTAGTAATTTAATAATAATGATGTGTTAAGAGAATTCTATAATTCTGCGTAGCGCTGGCGCAGCCTCGATTCCCGGAACAGTAGTCTAACTACTAGTAGTAGTTAATTATAATCAATAGTCACAATTATTATAGATGCATTTAAAGTATCTCGGAAAGTATTTTGAGCGTGTACTCGTTTGGACTGTTCTATATTACAATTCTAAAAAGCACTATTAGTTCAATTCATTTGATATTTGAATTTACACCGAATCGTATTTTTATAAGTTTCGTTCTTGTTTTCAAAGGAAGCATGTTTTCTCTTACATTTCAACAGCGGGAAGGTCGATCTATTTACAACAAATAAAATTTAACGACGTAGTAAAATCCTCCCGCTTACGTTACGAAGTCTGAGTAAAATCGCGAAGCTGAGAAAGGAGAAGAAAGTTTTATATTGGAAAAGTTTCAACTAACCGAGAGATTTACCAATTTGAAGAACTTATTGGAGTAGTTTTGAGGTGTTAATCTTAAGAAGTTTTTCGTTTGAAGTCAGTTCGATAGACATCTGTATCTAAAAGTCCATTGTAACAACAAAACACGAATTGTACAAACGTTCTACCTACAATTTAATACTTTAATTACTAAATAGATCTGAGAGTAATGGCATAACGAGTTAAGATTCTCTTTCTCGATTCATTCTAGATGGAGTAAGTTTTAAACACTACCTATGGGTAGTGGCATCTTGGTTTCCTAGCAATATCCGACAGAGAGGCTAGTAAAATATGAATGGAACCATGACCACATTTCACACATATTAAAGGTAACAATATCGCACTCACCTCCACAGAATACTTAGAATCACAATTTCTAACAAATGCTGATGAAGAATGCCTTTTAAAAAGCGGGCAGAATACTCACGTTATCATTGTTAAATGGCGATACTTTAGTAAATAAAAACATGATGACGCGACATAGAATCCTTAAATTTGTGATAAATAAGAAATTGTAAACAAATTCGTTTTTAAGATCTTACTGATAAGCAAAAGTGTTTTCCGCGTAGCTTTTAAATGGTATAAAATATTATTGTCTACATCTTTCGAATACCGCCTTCACGTACTGCCTTCATTTGGACGCACGAACATCACCGACACTTTCACTAGAAGTTGTGTTTAGCTTGAGCTGGCGCCGTACCTGACCGGAAGGCGTTCACCGTAAATCCAAATATAATGATAAGGCTAACAAAGAAAGTTTTAAAAAGAAGAGCTCAAGGGTTAAAAGCTAATCAGGAATAAACATCTCTTTTACCCTAAAATTATAATATTCAGTGTCGTCTAAAACCTATTGAGCACATTTGGATCGATTTATAATCACTCTTAAGTCATACGATCGCAAACGTTACTTATGTAACAATATTAAGTAACAGTGATCGTTTCTAGTTCGGCTATTAATGTACGCGATATAACCTAATACAATTAGATGCTATAACATGTGTGTCGAAAATAGACAAAATTCCTTACCAAAACGTTCACATTGTTCCTAGAGGTGAGTTCGCAAATTAAGCACACCCCCAGATCCTCAACTCACGCGGCAGTACGGCCTCCGAGCGATGCACGACTGAACTTCGAACATGGAGAACGGTGTGATGGTGGAGCTTCCCACGATCGTAAACAATAGCTGGTAATTAAACGGTACACTGCGCGGTAACATCTTTCTAGCTCTTAATTGTATAATTCACTAATAACCCCGCAGAGCTCTTTGAACTCTGCGTATCGAATCGCTCAAAAGATCAAATTCGACGGAAAACCCGTACTTTTCCGAATGAAAAAACTGCCATTGTAATGAATGACTTCTATGCGGATGTGGGTTTCGATATATCGTTGTCTTCAAACCCTCAGACGCCAATTCCATATTGTTACGTTTTGTTGTGCTTATAATTACCACCAATCTCGATCCAATCTGAGAACTGTATTGGTAGTGTCCGTTCAAAAACATTTAGATGGCCCTATGCTCAGTGCATTATATTAAAAGTCTCAAGCTATGTAAAAATCTAATCTAGAAGAGATCCGTTTTAAGCTACGAGGCTATGCCGTTAGAATCCATATTAAATTACTCGTTAAATTTAAAATGGAACCGTTGCCATGTGGAAGTGTTTATTATATACGTCACAACTCCTGGCGTCTGCCAAATAATTGAAACACTTGAGCTAACAGCACGTTCGCGTTTCTTTTTGATACATTTATTGGAGGTGTACACATTACAATATACATTTTAATTTACATACATACCCACATTAGTTAACGTATGATAGTATATAGAACGCGACATATATCCTCCTACGTAGCCACTTTTACAGATATAAAGCGCACTTAGGACTTGTTTGATTACAGTCATAAAATACGATCCAAGGAACAAAATATAATTAATTACAGGAACAGGTAATATCTACTAGAATAAGAGTGTGGCTTTCCGAGAAGAGCACCTTTTAATGGAGAGGTTGTGAGTACTCGTACACAATGGGCCATCAATGTTTACCAAAAAGATATTTAAAGTTATAAGAGTACTTGTTTTAAGTGTACATTTCTAGATTGCCTTTTTTCCCTAGCTCGCCTTGCCGAAAGGATTGCATTTTATCGATATGACATTTGTTATTGAGCTTTCAAAATCTTTAACAGAGTTTTTTAAAATACTATTGACGTATTGAAGTGTCAAAAATATTTAAAAAATTCCCGTGAGACAAGAGGGGAAGTTTTCGTCGCACTGATCTCCTTAACCGGGATCACAAGCCCGGACCTCTTTCACTTAACGCACTGCTACGCAACACGTTTAACCGTTTAGCTAGAGTGACGGTAACAGCTGTATATGGATATGTAAAAGCGTACTTCACACAAATCAGTCGCTCGGCAATTGTTTCCACTGATGTCGGACACTCGTTAAAGCACTCGCGCAATGCACTATTCTTACGTCAAAGTTACACCATTCCACCGCGCACGATTCCGAGGCGGTGTTTTATCTTTCAGTGATCTATCCGCGTTGTAGCGTCACTTTTACGTCTATAAGCGATTAGCATATGTGACGTACGTATTTAAGCTAAAATATTTAGTTTCGTGTTTATATATAACTAGGTATTGCACTATAAAAAATGGCAGTGACGCTTCCAATTCACGTTTCTTCCAAAGATTTTGGCGTCTGAAATGTTTGAAGAGCCAAGTCGATATTGCGGACGAAGTAATGTGAAAGAATATGAATTACAATGAAGTTATAATTAAGAAGTTAGCTTAAACAAGAAACTAACTCAAACAAATGGAATCACTATTTACAATGTAAATAATACATAGCATAGAAATCTCATTCTGTCACTTATTATGGCTCTGGCATAAGATTACACGAGGTGGGTTTATACTTGCAGGACTGTTCTAGTAAGTTACTTGTTTATATTGTAAATCGATTATAATAGGGTCGTGGATTCGGAGGGTCCGGTGGGTGGGTTGGTCTTAATCTGGAAAACCAGACATTAAATGGGCGGTGGGTATGTCGAAATTCCTTCCGGGTCACGAACTATCGTTGACAGATCGAAAAGCAATAGAGTTTAATTGCGTTTCGGTTTCAATTTGAGGATCTTAGAATATCCAAAGACAAAATAGGTGGAGAGCGTGTCTTGTGAGATGTTATATAGGGTATTTCAAATTCAACAATAAATTAATAATCAGTATCCGATAGGAATCCAACCTAGAATCCGTTGATTATGAGCCATACGTTGCTGTTATTGCTGTATTAAATTCAAACTAAGCACGATAGACAAGCTAGATCATTTTACCTTTATATTCTCATATTGTTCTGTTATTGCTTAGTTTGCAAAGTATTTCAGAACAATGTATACCTGTGAAGTCATTTAGGTAATGCACAGTTTAAGTATGGCTCACGTCTTTTTTATCTTATTTTTCTAGAAAAAGCAATATAACAATAGTAAAATTAATATAATAATAATAGTAGTAGTATATTAAGTAGATTTCGCTTGACCTCCCTCTCCTTTAAAGAAAAATCCGAAAGATATAATTAAGTAATTAAAAGATTTATGTGTTTACATTAACTTTTGGCGAAGGGTCTTTTGAAAATATTATAAACACATTTTCTTCGGCCCACAAAGGCGACGACGGTCTTAAAATGACCTGAACAAAGAGATGTATTACAATATTGCACAAAAAAGTCTTTAGAAATTCTTTTCAAAGACACAGCCGTACTAAAGCCCCTAAACGGTTTTGCATATATATCATGATTTAATTAATTAATTTCCAGAAAACGGCCGAGTGTAATTTGTGTCGGACTAGCACAAGGGTTTCGTACCCTTGAATAAAGTACACAATATTAATAATGCCCGAGCCGGTTTCACGCTTCGTATAAGGAATCCTAAACACCGAATAATTGTAATAAATGTACCGACGGTTACTAAGACCAAGCCCAGACACGCGAATCACCTATAAAACGGTTCCAAGAGGAAAAAGATACCTATAAAATTATTCAATTTCTCACAGTCTTATGCACAGTAAGAATCACACAGAATGTTACGTTGTGACGTTTCACAAAATTGTGTATTACGCCAAATAAAAAAGTTGAAATTACTGTGAAACTTGTGACAAAGAAATTTATTTATTAAGATCTCATAGATGATAAAAAAAGAAATTCCACTTCAGACCGACTGCTTACAATTTTCATTATATGGACGAATGTTTAAGTAATATATGCTTTAAAGTGGAACGCCTATTAAAAGCATAAAAGATAAAACGTGCACTATCTAAAATCCTAGACAATGTAATACTAACCGATAACGTCTAAATTACAGGGAGCTATCAATATGCCTTCGGATTTGAAACAAGAACTCAAAAGTAACGAAATGTAAAGAAACAAAAAAAACATTCAACAAGTATAACGTACTTTAAAAGATTAAAAAAATTCAACTTATTATTAAGTGCTTTGCACGCAAATCATTTGCTTTAAAAATTTGCATAATATCATAGAGTCTTATAATCTGATTAATCAAGCTGGGTGCTATGTGTGCTTATAAGTTATATATATTTTCTTCATTCTTTCAAATAAAGGACAACACTGAAAATTACACATTGTAAGGAAAAGGAAATAATTATTCAGTTATATTAACCTGCTTTCCTATCAGAAGTAGCTTCTGAGGGTTCAGCTCTTGAAGCCTCTGGCAGAGGTGAACCGCACTAGTCGCCAAGCGAGCCATGTTATAAATCCTTCAAAAACGCCACTGTCACTTGAGCGCACTACAATAATCCATCCCGCATTTTCTTATCGAAATCAGATAGCGTTCGTCGTATTTGTCAATACAGTCGCTAGAATTGTATTGTACACGTGCAACACTGTCGCCGGTCACCGTGGCACTGAAGTCGAAGGCGTCCACGATTCCACTCGAAGCTGACTCTCGTATCATCTCAACAAACATTACCGATACTACGACGTGCACTATCATAATTACATCGATATAGCATAACCACTTCTCTGTCGAATGTTTACATAATTAAAACGATCCTTAAAATAACTTTTATGTTTCCTTTTATTGACCAAAGGAAACCGCTACCTCGTACATCGTGCTCCACGAAGACTATCAAATAATAAATTTGATTGATAAGTGACAAAAACGACTTGCATAAAATTGAATAAAAAAAGCTAGAATGCAGACAATGACCGTTGTCAATGAAACAATGATTAGAAAATGTAGGATAGCCTTTTAGGTGCGCATCGAACTAATATAGAGTACAATAAACGGACCGTGTGACGCATAACTGGCTTATTCGAACCGATGTCGATATAGCTAGGAATGAAACCCACCGTTCCATATTAGGTTCGGTGAATTAGCAGCACGTAGTAACAAAATGTACCCGATACCTCTCGATTGACAGCGAATAATCTATAGCCCTCAGAAGTCATCTATGTAATTAGGAAACCAGCGCTTTAAGGACGAGACCTCAACGAAAGTGTGCAGTGTGAAGAGAATCAAGGCTTAGTTAGATTACTGCACGAATTGAAAAAACTAAATACATATGAGTAAAATAAACAAGAACGGAATTACTACATATTATGATACTGTCTATAGTTTACGCGAGTAGTACACATTTAAATAAAACACTTTAACGGTTTAAAACGCGATACACTAGCCAAACTTATTTAAAAATTATTTTTAACTTCGGCCCGACGTTTCGCTATGGCTATATTCGAGATGGCGCTAGCGTAGCAATTTTTACTTTGACGTCAGACACATCCTCCATCTTTAGTCTCCCCGTGACCACGGCTGCTGCAAGGCATCCGAAACGTCGGGCCGAAGTTAAAAATAATTTTTAAATAAGTTTGGCTTGTGTATCGCGTTTTAAACCGTTAAAGTGTTTTATTTAAATACATATTATGATATTAATTACATACATGACATAACTACTGATGTATTCATTGGTTAGCAATTTATCACTACTTAACAAATTGATAAATATTGACACGTTATCTTGAAGTTAATTGTTGTATAAGTGTTAATTAATAGGCGATTCATGAATTAATAAAACCATTTAAATAAAGATTTACACAATCTCAACGCGTAGAGTGCAATAACTAAATTCTAATGTGGTGTTCGTCACGCAAAAATGCCTTTATTCGATGAAAACAAATCTAGATCCGGTTAGTGCAAGTTCGCGATAAAGGAAATTAAAGTCGAATTTATCAAATTGAGTTGACCGCGTCCGAAAATGGAGGACACCATTGGTAAATTAGAACGTCCCCGAGAATTATATTAGCGACAGAAGTCACGATTCGAGATGAACCTTCAATTAGCACCAAAACGGGGAGCATACACGGTGTAGCGGTGCGACAAGTAATCGAATATAATTTTTCGCTTCTTTTATGATGAAATAACAAGTGCTCATCCTATGCAACACAACAGTTGAACGTTTTCTCGGGTCGGAATTAACATATGTATATTATTCTACCTACATAATATGTTTTCTAGTGAAAACCTCTCTTTAATGTGATAGTTGTACGATGTACACGCGGCGTTAGATATGAATTACGTGTAAAAATTACAATATTATGAGGATAATGTTAATATTTGCCCAGACAATAACCGGAGCTATAACTGATCTCAACAGTCATCCTTGAACCGGCGGAGACAATTTCTACAGGAATAAAATAGTTATTTATTTCAAACTTATTTGATTTTTTTATTTGCAGACACTACTCAACTACCAAGCGAAACTGAAGTGTTTTATCAGCACTCGATTCGGCAAATGTTATTATAAAAATAAATAAATAAACTTTCATAGAAAATCTGGGTGTAAATGACTTTTCGAGTATTGTGCACGCGCATCTTGTTTCGATAGTATGCAGCTAAAGTACACCTTCCATCAAATGAACCCCTACTTTACCCCTCTGTCCTAAAAATGTAGATTGATGACGATTTAGCGTAGAAGATGTATGTTGATTTATTTAATCGAGCTTATGTAACACTCGCAAACAAAATGATTGAAATGTTTTACGATTTAGTGCTCATACGCAAATTAATATGCCGAGATGTGAATACATCTTTTACCAAAAGGTTGTGTCGATTTGGATATTACTAGTGACAAATTATGAAGTTTTGTTTGGCATATTTACATTTAAGATATTGTTAACGACCGTAGCCGCTGCAAAGAAGCAATGTAAGAAACATTTTTACTAAAAATAGTCAATGCAAAACTTTAACTTGATAAAATAGGAATGTTGCAAATTAAAATAGAATATAATAACTGACGTAGGGGGTACTCTTTTCACCATTATCATTGGTTCTTTAACTGTTTCAATCGATGGAACCCTAAGTGTATTTTTTTGGGTTTTCGGATATTCTGGTCCTAATGGTGCCTTTTTCTTTATCCAGAGGGCACGAGAGACAGATTTAGGCTTTTATCGTTAAAAATGTTTTAATGACAGAGGATGAGAGACAAAATAAACATACACCTACCTAACAGCCATAACACCTAATCGAGATGCGCTATCGAACTACTTTTTGATTTGGCTATTCGGAACCCAGACGGAATTTCGATATTCTTACTACCCAGTTATTATCCAGATTTTAGAAGAAGATATATATTGATTTTAAAACATGTTGGACCAAAACTGATTTGAGCCCACGAGCAACGAATGCTTGGCCACTATAACAGCCTTTATATCTTTCCAGCATGATCACAGGGTCTACGTGACGGCAATCAGCTTTTGAAACAGTAGCGCATTGTCCCGTATTGACGTCAATCGCTCCCTAATAGGTATCGGCGATCCACTCATTTCGATAGAGCGCGTGCTTCGATTGTTATGCTAAATATGACGACTAGTAAACAACACCTGCGTTGCACTGTCGGAGTTAAGCCGAACATCCATTGACAGATTCTGTGTGCGGAAATAAAGTTCAAACGTAGCATTGCTAGCCCAAGAGGGTAGTTAGCGTGGCTTTGGCCAATATGCGTCACCTCTGTGTCGAAGTGATATTTACAAAAAACTACGTCGACGAAGGAATAATTCAAACTTATTTTAGCTGTCGGTGGAAGATCGGCTTACGCCTTGGTTATATCCCAGTGCAAGTCTGAAGTCGTATTTCTACACTTACAAAGACACGTAATTGGGGAGCACAAAGAGGCCATTGTTGGCAGGAGGCTTAATTATTGTGGAAGGCTGCGGCCAATGACACTGTCGATAAGATTGTTCAGATCCACAAACAAGATAAGCGGTAGGGATTCAGTTATAAGACGAAACATGTATACGGCTGGATAATTTAATTAGAAGATAGAAGAGTTTTAAACAAATATGTTTATCTACTATTTATGTAAGCGGTACATTAAATTAAAAATAAGTTAAGCGACTTGAAGTGTAATCTCTAAGATTCTTGTTTGTTTGATATTTAGGCACCCTTGAATTTAAACTACGATGCGAAATATCTAAACAATATTTCAACGGAGTAACATGTATTGCATTCGAGTTGAAACGACTATTTATAATTTGGCATAAGTGGTCTAAGTGATAAAATAATAAATTATATAAACATATATAATAAATTATAACTCGTATTAAAATACAGCCCATCGACTGTACCATATGCAATGCACTAGATTAGAGCCATACACTCAAACGGAAAACCTTGAATACACATATCTTAAATCATACATGTCCAACTAAATATTACGGAAAATGAATTGCATAACAGTGTAGATACAACATAGTAAATACGCAGCTCCGTAGTAGAAATCAAAAGTTATCGTGCTAATCTCATTATCTAGACAATTGTATAAGAAGCCACTCGGGAAACGACGCCTTATCACGAAAAGGCATTTCCTTTTCTAGTGCGTCATCCTATTGCAGTCGTGACCGAACCATTGTTTATCGGGTCTTTTGCCCACAAACATAAACATAACCGATATTATGTCTATTTTAGGTTTGGCTTGAAGAAACAACGTCTATTTGTAAGCACCGTCGCAGCGTGCCGTATTCATTCATTCATTCAAATGTAAAGTAAGCATTGAAATCTTTTGTCAGAATGCTCAGAAGGCAGAAGGCGACGTTCGAGACACAAAAGCGCGCAAACAGGGGAATAATCGAAGAAATATTATACAGATAGGTTTCGGAAAACAAAGAGGTAAAGGGGAAGGTACAAAAGGTAAATGACGATATTTGGAGGGGGCGGATGTTTGAGGTTGTCTTTGAGAATTTTCTTATAACACGTGCGTGTTCTGTATGCAACAGGATATAATTTGAAAATGTAGTAAATAAAAGAATATAATAATATGTAAGTTCGTCATCTGAAACGGATCTGAAAGTTTTTTGCTGCAATTTCATTTTACGTCTTATGACGTGGGTGAACACAGTCAGTCACTCATTTCGTTGTTGTCGGTTCGAAAATTCAATATCAATTTCTATATTACTCGTTCGCCCAAAGCGCCTCGTGCTTATTGGTAGATTTGACGTCGAGAATATATACTAGAGCACAAATAATGCAGCAATAGGGTGAGCACCTGCCGTGACCGTCGCAGGTGTGTAGCCACCTGATACGTAACGACCCTCGCGAAGTACAGGAGTCACAATTGCTCTGAAACCATTTGGTGTTTTCCATTAAATCGCGATCAAATAAGGTTTATAATGCCAATATGTATTAATTATCCTAGCTGCCTATTTCACAATTATTAATATTATTTGATAAGATTGTATATATACTGTCTATAG